TGGTGGGCTGTGAGAGGGGGGGGGGGGTCAGAATTTAGCACAACACCGGCAAGTAAGTATATGTGCTGTTGAGTTGAGTGCGTTTGCGGGCTTTGCAGTGAATGAAATGTCAGTTTTGCATTTTGCTGTGAAACCGGCAACACATAGCCTAGGTTTATGCTTTCAGTTTGAAATGAAATCCTATACAGGATTACAGTTAGTCGATCTAAATCAGAGATTGTGCATTAACAGCTGTCAGCCATGTCAGTACACCAGTGAGCTGTCTGAACTTATTTCCACAGTGCATTTTCTATTTTGGTCGTTCTTGCACACCCACGTACCACTTAATGTGCACCCCTGTTATAACAGTGAAATTCCTGATAGTAATTCCAATAATTCCAAATTGCAACAACCTCATTCTTCGGTCCGAGTCCAAACGGTTTCCTCAGTTCAGTGTACTGTTGGAGTAACTAAAGTGCTGAATGAGTTGACAAAAACCGGCATCATATTGATTATATATGCAATACACTGGATCATTCACAGTCTGATTTCGTGCACTGGTTCATCCACTTCACTACAAAAAACAGGTTCAAAAGACAGGTTCAAATCACTCCAGTTTTCCTGAATCGGATTACAAGTAATAATGTTGTAAATAATGTTCAGTTTCTTGCACAGACAGATTATTTTACAATACCTCAACATATTTATCAGGAGCCACAGGTATTAATTTTGTGTTCTTTGATATGCCTGTATTCCCTGATTTTTTTTTTTGTAACTGTTCTACAGAAGAAAAAAGTCACCTACATCTTGGATGGCCTGAGGGTGAGTAAACTAAGAGTAAATTTATTTTTGGATGAACTATACCTTTAATATTATAGAAGAAATAAAGAAAATAAAGAGAGTATTAAAAAAAGTATTTATACCAAGAATTCATCTCGGATAAAAAACTTTGCCCTGGACACTTTTGGGTCTTCTCCGGGATCAGGGGTAGCTGTGCATATAAAAACAGATATTATATAGACATTATGCCATATAATCAATTAAAAAAATGGAAGTGGGCATTTTAAAGGATGGCTGAGTAGGCCAAGTCTTGAATGAAATGATAAAACAATAATATCCACCTTATTTTACAAAGGGTTTTTACACAATTTGCACAAGTCAATTTCAAGCACTTTCAACCATTTTCAAGGTGCAATTTCAAGGTTTTGGAGCACACTTTTAGACTAAAAGCCCTAAGGGACGATGGTAAGTAAAACATTTGTTTGTTTTTTTCCTCAATGGGTGCAGGCTCATTCCATAATATGGACTTTTTGATTTTGCAATTCTTTGACACAAATGAAGAAATTACTGTCACTAAAAGATTTTTATTGTAAAACAGTCCAAATTGCAACAAAGTTTCTCTATTAAAACAACAGCGGTTGAGTAAGTGCATTTATTCAGCAACCACAATCACAATCAAAATAGTCAAGATCTCATGACAGAACACAGACTGATTGAATGACAATTTCATTTAAGCCAAACATCTCACATGGAGATTGCTAAACTCCAACTTACTTGTTTGTCTGTGTTTTCAGATAATCATCGGAGCTTTCATGATAGGGTGGCCAGATTTCTCATGGTTCAATATGGGACGAGACATTCACTGTAATGCATAGCCACAAACAATGCAAAAACCGGCATCATATTGATTATATTTGCCAGTACACTGGATCAGTCGCAGTCTGATTTAGTGCACTGGTATATCGACTTCACTAAAAAGAACAGGTTCAAAAGAATTAGTAGTTCTGGAAATTGAACTGGAAATCACTCCAGTTTGCCTGAGGCTATGGTTTACAGGTAATAATGTTGTAAATAATGTTCAGTTTCTTGCACAGACAGATTATTTTACAATACCTCAACATATTTATCAGGAGCCACAGGTATTAATTTTGTGTTCTTTGATATGCCTGTATTCCCTGATTTTTTTTTTTGTAACTGTTCTACAGAAGAAAAAAGTCACCTACATCTTGGATGGCCTGAGGGTGAGTAAACTAAGAGTAAATTTATTTTTGGATGAACTATACCTTTAATATTATAGAAGAAATAAAGAAAATAAAGAGAGTATTAAAAAAAGTATTTATACCAAGAATTCATCTCGGATAAAAAACTTTGCCCTGGACACTTTTGGGTCTTCTCCGGGATCAGGGGTAGCTGTGCATATAAAAACAGATATTATATAGACATTATGCCATATAATCAATTAAAAAAATGGAAGTGGGCATTTTAAAGGATGGCTGAGTAGGCCAAGTCTTGAATGAAACGATAAAACAATAATATCCACCTTATTTTACAAAGGGTTTTTACACAATTTGCACAAGTCAATTTCAAGCACTTTCAACCATTTTCAAGGTGCAATTTCAAGGTTTTGGAGCACACTTTTAGACTAAAAGCCCTAAGGGACGATGGTAAGTAAAACATTTGTTTGTTTTTTTCCTCAATGGGTGCAGGCTCATTCCATAATATGGACTTTTTGATTTTGCAATTCTTTGACACAAATGAAGAAATTACTGTCACTAAAAGATTTTTATTGTAAAACAGAAGTAAAAAAACTTCAGCAGTCCAACTATCAAAATCTGCGTGTCAAAGCACTGGACATTGTAGTGAAGCAAAAAAAAAAAAAAAGTTAATTTCATTAAATGTAAAATGTATAAATTGGTTAATTTTTGGTTTCTGACTTATTTGGTGCGTTTTTATTCGTCATCTAAAGTTAAGAATATGACAGAGCTTGTATTTAAAGAGAAAACATACACTGGACTGAATAATTCACTGAAAATGCAACAATTAACTGAAAATGCTATTTTCTCTGCCACCTCTGATGTAATGAGCCAAGTTTTCTTTAAATTAGCACTGTTTGTTGGACTGACTGCTTGAATGTACTCACTGGAATACTGGACTGAAAACTTTCTCAAAGTGTAGCGGCTTAAAATTATCTGATTGCACACAGAGAAATAAAATCAGGTTAAAGGGTTAGAAAAGGAATCTCCGACTACCAGGGTTACAGATGCTAGCGCCATTATAGATGTGTGATAAACTCCAGACTTACAAGATCATCTGTCTGAGGCGGGGTAGGCAAGTTCGGTCCTAGAGAGCCGCAGTCCTGCAGAGTTTCAGCTCCAACCCTGGAAAAAACTCACCTGCATATAGCCTTAGTAATCCTGAAGACATTGATTAGCTTGTTCAGGTGTGTTTGATTAGGGTTGGAGGTGAACTCTGCAGGACTGCGGCTCTCTAGGACCGAACTTGCCTACCCCGCCTCAGACAGATGATCTTGTAAGTCTGGAGTTTATCACACATCTATAATGGCGCTAGCATCTGTAACCCTGGTAGTCGGAGATTCCTTTTCTAACCCTTTAACCTGATTTTATTTCTCTGTGTGCAATCAGATAATTTTAAGCCGCTACACTTTGAGAAAGTTTTCAGTCCAGTATTCCAGTGAGTACATTCAAGCAGTCAGTCCAACAAACAGTGCTAATTTAAAGAAAACTTGGCTCATTACATCAGAGGTGGCAGAGAAAATAGCATTTTCAGTTAATTGTTGCATTTTCAGTGAATTATTCAGTCCAGTGTATGTTTTCTCTTTAAATACAAGCTCTGTCATATTCTTAACTTTAGATGACGAATAAAAACGCACCAAATAAGTCAGAAACCAAAAATTAACCAATTTATACATTTTACATTTAATGAAATTAACTTTTTTTTTTTTTTTGCTTCCCTAAAAGATTTTTTTTGTAAAAAAGAAGTAAAAA